CTATTAACAATGTAAGTATATGTACACTTGAGGTGTATGAAAAGATTAACTTTATATTGTTGATTTTGCCGTCGTTTTTATTATTACGAAACCTGATTCTTAAATAATCATGTAAAAAGGTCAGAATATCATTTTGAAGTTCGAGAATATTATAGACACAATTCTATAAACTTTACATAACTTGTATCACGAACAGAATAATGTACAGTACATATTATAAGTAAATTCTTGAAGCAAATTTTATCTATATGATTGAAAAAAAATATTTTGAAAGTAAATTAACTTAAGATAGTTATTTATTATTATAGATATTTGTAATTTTGAAACATTTTAAAAAAATAAAATGAGTGAAAAAAATTATTTCTAGCAGGTCATAAAAAAATTTGCATCTGAACATGCCAATAATTTTAGTTTTTCAAATAATCTGAAAAAAATGTTTTTAGATAACGAACTTAAAATAAGTCGTAATTGTGTGAACTACACAACAATAACAATTTTTTTTTGGCAAAATAGCGACTGTTCGAAAAAAAACTACACCTATTTTCGATTTTTTTCAAAATAGTAAAAATCAGAATTTGGGAATGTCTATCTATAGTTCATACTGAAGAGGAATTTATAAAAATAATTTATAGTAGCAAAATAGCGTTTGATGCCTGAAAAAAATTAATATTTTTTTTTTATTTTCTCGTTTTCTTTTACATAGTAAAAATTAGAATTTGGGGATATCCATAGTTCATACTGAAGAGAAGTCTATAACTCTGTAAAAATTTCTAAAAAATTAGTCCAGTAGAAGTAGAGAAATCGTGGAAATCGTATCCAAAAGTTTAAAAAATTAAAATTTAGCGACGGAAGGACACAGAGGAAAATTATCTTGGTCAAAAAGCTATATTTTCAATAATAATTTCAAATTTAAAAATCCTTTAAAAATCCACTTGTACACATATTCATAAATAATTGAACCTCAAAAATATAGAAAAAAATCGATTTCTTAAAACTTTAGATTCCCTTCAATTCGAAATAGGTACATCCGTATACGCTGGGAAATAGATCTTTTGTAATTATTTTAACCATTGTTAAAAATTATTTACCTTTCTATTTTTACTTATTGGTATCTTAATATAAGTATCGTTTGCATATTAAAAGTGCCAAAAGTATTTTCATATATTATACAAATGACGACGAACCCATCGTATCACTTAACTAATGATTCGCAAATAATATTTTTTTAAGATATTTCGGAAAATAAATTCTGAAAATTTTAAAATTTGCTTGAACCGTATAAGTAAACTTAAAAATTCACAATTTTCGTATGCAAAATTGTAACAAAATTAGTACCCATTTTAAAAATTTTTATCAAATATTTGACAACTTGATGAGCATATATCTAATGGTCATTTTTGATCGCCAAATATTTTTTTTTACTTTTCTTTTTATATCTCCGAAACTGCAAGACCTGTCTTACTAAAAAAATCATCAATTCTCAATTTTGTCAATACAATTAAAATGTTTTTGGAATCATTCAAATAGATCTGAAAACTCGATTTGTTTTTTGCTGCTCTGTTTGCTCCGTATCTCCGTAATGCCTGGACCTGCCTTTGACAAAAACTACCCAGGCCATCTCCTTATGAAGAGGAATCGAATGTTTTATGAACCATTCAAATTGGTTGATCAGAAAATGTTCAGAAACCTTCAAAACGTCGAGAAATGCGAAAGTTTTCATTTTCGAAGTTTGGCCTAGGGTAGCTAACTACCCTACGGAAAGTTATAAAAGTTCAGTTGGTACACATTGCATTGTTTATTTTATTACAAATTTTATTGCCTAACTTGATGCAAAC